CAGTAGATGACGAAATAAGGGGAGCGCAGTCAGAAGCAGGTGAGGGGTCTGTCGAGGGGGCTCAATGCAATGGCAGTTGATTGCAGGAGATTTACATAAGAATCACTGAGGCACAGAGATTCCTGTGGGCCTTGGCATGCAAATGCGGGTGATTGCAATGCTGTTAACCTGGCAGCCTTATCAGCCCTTCCTGATCCACGAAAAGAATAAACCTGGCAGCTTCTTGGGGAAGCCATCTGGTCCCACTTCTTAAAGTAACAGCAAATGCCAAACAGTAAGCTGGCTTGGAACTCGGGTGCCTTCTGAGAAAGGGGTGCAGGTTTGATTTTAGAACACTAAGACACATAAGTCACCCTTTCCTGCCCGGCTTCATCTGAATTTTCCCAGCAGGTGAGAGAGAGAAAAGGGACAAGGAGAGAGAGAGGCCAGGGCGGATGGACGAGGAGCAGGTTCGCACCATATTTCGTGATGCTTCCATGCAAGTTTGGAGGTGACCTGAGGGCACCTCTGGAGGAACTGCTACTGGTCAGCAAAGGGCACGGCATTTTGCATACCCATAAAACTGCTTTCAGCTTCTGCAGGGGAGAATGAAATGAAACAACGGGAGCTTCCGTGTATTGTTCGGGTGAGAAATCAGGGGGTCTGTGATTGCAGAGGCAACACCCTCTGGGAAAGGGCATTGCAGGCGGGCCAGTATTTTTCCAAGTCTCTCAAGCAGAACGTGTCGCCTCTTCCACCAGCCAGGGCTGCACACAGATGTCACCCCTTGCGCAAGACCAACATCCTGCTTCTGCCCCAGCCCGAAGCGTCCCTCCTCAGTCCTCAGCCGCTCCCAACTCAGGCAGTTGCCCAAGAAGAACGCTGTGGTTGATGGTAATGAAAGCGGCTGAGGACCCAGGAGGCCCAATGGGGTCACATGCCCCCATCTCTCTCCCAGTGGGTCACACTGGGGGACCACCGCAGCTTCTGCACCAAAGCCAGGCCTGCACCCTGGCTGGGGTGGATTTGGGTAGCCCACCCCACCCATGAGTGCCCGGGGCTGGTTGGCCCCCACCTGCTCAAGGACCTTCCCCAGGGAAGGCACGTTCATGCCAGCTGAAGCTTCCTGGGGCCTGCTGGTTCCAGAGGGGGCTTCTTCAGGGGGGCCTGTTTAGGTGGCGTTGGACCACCTCCTCTTCCGAGGACCACCTCCCTGCCCCAGCCGGCTCTTCCCTCCCAGCTACCCAGGGAAGCAAGGATCCGGCACGGACGTGGCTGCACACCCCTGCACCAGTTGAATCTCAGCCAAGACACTGGACCGGGTGGGGCTCTTGGAAGCTCGCCTGGTGCAACCACTGGGACAATATACTCTCCATTTTAAGATTTGTTTGTTTTAATGGGGGTTTTATTGCTAGTTGGAAATGTTATAGGACGCTATGTTTTGTTTTATACTGTCTCACTGTTAAACTGTCCTGAGATTGCAGTGAAGGACAGTCTAGAAGGGTTTCAAATAAGTAAGTAAGTAAGTAAAAGTAAGTAAGTAAGTAAGTCCTGCCAGATGTTGAGATTTTCTTCTGGCAGTGCCTTTAAGGCTATTGCGATAGTCCCCAGGAGATCTTTAGGGCCAGTGTACAGCCACCCCAGCTGACCCTAAAGAACTGCACCGGGCTCTCGGCCCTGGGGTAGACCAACCCTACAAGCTCTGCTACAGACAGGGTGGCTCTCTTTGATGCTCAACCGAGTACCCCAGTGGGCACAGCTGGGGGAGACCAGCCCCCCCCGTTCACCCCCCAGATCTGGGTGATGCATGCAGGGTCTTCATCTTTCATCGTGGGCAGGGGAGGTCTTGTTCTGGAGTGATATGGCATTCAGAGCAGCATCCGGACGGAGCCTCGAGGGCAGGCTGACTGGGGAACCGCAGGGTTGCAGATGCGAGGAGGACCCGAGCACGTGCCCTTACCTGGCTAGACTTTCTCCCAGGGCCAGACTGTCCTCTGCGCATCACCAGCAGCCTCTTGGGCCCCCTGAGAGGGAATCACAGACTGGTTAGCCTTACGTCCCTTGTAGGAAAGACAATGGAAAGGCTCCTAATAGAGAGAGATCTAGTAACCCTGGAAAGGGAAGGGAGGCTGGTGGCCACGCAGCATGGCTTCCGCAAAAGCAGGTCCTGCCAGATGAACCTTGTGGGATTCTATGACAAGGATTCGAGGTGGCTACATGGTCACCTGGATTTCAGCAAGGCCTTTGACAAAGTGCCGCGTGATATCCTGGTTGAGAAATTGAGGCATTTTGGGATAGACTGATGCACCGTCCGATGGATTAGGGCAGGGAGGGCAAACCTTTTAGAGACCCAGTGCCCAAACTGCAACCCAAAACCCACTTATTTATGGCAAAGTGCCAACACTGCAATAAAGCCTGAAAACTGAGGTTTTAGTTTAGAAAAAACAACTCACAGCCAGCCCAAGCAAATCTCTCTCTCTCTCTCTCTCTCTCTCTCTTATTGGCAGTGCACTGACCAGCCCCGTGAAAGCTTGGACGAGTTCTGGCTAATGAGTCGCAGCTCGTGGCGTCTTTGCCTGATGCCACTACTCCTTTCCAAGCACGCGCATGGCCCCCATGTGCGCTGTTATCCGATGCTCGGCTGCTGGGGCGATGCTGGGGCGACTTGTCTCGCATGCCGACAGAGAGGACTCTCCATGCCCACTCTGGCACAGGTGCCATAGGTTCGCCATCACTGCTCTAACCCTAATATAGGGGTAAATACCATGGAAAAGAGGATGATTTTGAAAAGGACTTCCTTGAGTAGCTTTTTCTACATAGCTCATCATTTCTGCCCATTCTAAACACATGCCAACCATCAGAATCATGCCAGGAGACCTTGTTTTTTGAACCCGAACCCTATCCTGGTGCACTCTCCTAACCCTAACATTGGGCGAAAGTTCCATTGAAGAGAGGGCGATTCTGAAAAAGCCTTCCTTGAGCAGCTTTTTCTGCGCAGCTCATCATTTCTGCCCCTTCTAAACACATTCCAACCCTCAGAATCATGCCAGGACACCTTGTTTTCCTAACCCTAACCGAGTGATGGTGAACCTTTTAGAGACCGAGTGCCCAAACTGCGACCCAAAACCTACTTATTTATCGCAAAGTGCCAACACTACAATAAAGCCTGAAAACTGAGGTTTTAGTTTAGAAAAAACAGCTCACAGCCAGTCCAAGCAAAACATATATATCTCTCCATCCATCCATTCCTCCTTGGCAGCACACTGACCGGCCATGCGAAAGCTCGGACGAGTCCTGGCTAATGAGTCACGGCTCATGACATCTTCGCATGGCACCCCTCCTCCTTTCCGAGCATGCGCATGGCCCCCATGTGCGCTGTTATCCGATGCTCGGCTGCTGGGGCGATGCTGGGCTGACCTGGCTCACGTGCCGACAGAGAGGGCTCTGCGTGCCTGCTGCGGCATGCATGCCATGGGTTCCCCTCCACTGGATTAGGGCATGGTTGACAGACTGAACGCAGAGGGGAGCACTTAGTGGGGAATCATCGGGATGGCGGCCAGTGATGAGTGGGGTCCCCCAGGGCTCTGTCCTGGGGCCGATCCTGTTCAATCTTTTCATTAATGACCTGGAGGACGGGGTGAGTAGTCTGCTGGTGAAATTCTCTGGAGAGCAGCGCTTGTGAAAGGGACCTTGGGGTGCTGGTGGACTGCAGGCTGAACATGGGCCAGCAGTGTGATGCGGCGGCCAAGAGGGCGAATGCCACCCTTGGTTGCTTAGCTAGAAGTGTGGCTTCTAGAGCGAGAGAGGTGTTACTGCCACTCTATACGACTCTGGTGCGCCCGCAACTGGAGTATTGTGCTCAGTTCTGGGCCCCTCATTACAAGAGGGATATAGCCAGGTTGGAATCGGTTGGAATTATTTACAGTTCTTTACACATTCAGTGAAAAATCCTAGTCTGACAAAAAACACAGGATTGTGTGTAGTTCATGTGTGTTTATTTTAAAGCATGAGTTTTTTCTTGAATAACATATAAATTAACATAGATTCTTTTTGTTATTTGCTGGAGCTTTTTCCTACCATCAATCTGATCAACTCTGGTTTTTTTTCTAATCACAACATTCATAACAATAACAGGATTTTTAATTTAAAGGAGAATAGTTACAAACGCATCATGTGGAGAGCCTTTAAATCTTGTTTTTTTAACTAAAGGTAGGAGTTTTTCAGCCCTACCAGGAGACCACATTTGAGATCTTGTGCAGGTCTTCTGCTATGTTCTATCCGCCCATCAGGAACGTTCCGCCTGCTGCCCAAAGTGGCACATTACACACATGGCAGGAACGGTTTATCTCAATTTTTCATTTTTCCAACTTAAACTTGGTCCATCTCAAACTCTGAGAATTTCTCCCATCTGAAATTAATTTCATCCCAAACTTTGATTTTTTTAAAGAAATTGCATGGGATCCATAATTGTGCTTGTGGACATTTCTCCAAGTGTCCCTTGCATATTTTGATTGCCCTTTTGTTTAATAGACACACGTTGGAGGGTCATTTTCCTAGAATAGCACAGTATTTCTCATAATAAATGCATTTTGTATGCATTTTTCAATTGCAAATTTCAGAGAAGTGCTCATTTTGCAGAGGGGCTGAGTTTCAGTTCAGTGGTATGAAACAATAAAAAGAGACAAATTCTCAATCAAAATGCAAACTGATCTAAAATCCGCATTTCAGAGGCTTCTACCTCTTTATCTTAGCCGGTGTTAAAGTCCATGATTATCAAAATGACATCAGGCTACAATCTACCTCTTCCCTGGAATGGCGTAGCGACTCTTCTGCATTCAAATGGCACCAAAATAGCTCTCACAACACCCAAAAATTAACTCTGAAAGGCCCCCCACAGTCAAATGCTACAGAACCGATCCACACAGTGAAATCCTAGAGTGAGTGTTATTTAATGAAGCTTTGGTGGGAAAAGATCTAGATTTCATCTCTCCTCCACTGCCACGTGCCACCTGGCCCCACCTTCACAGACTGCCTTTGAGAAAGAGGCAGGCCAAGCTGGTGAAAACAGCCAAGACCACCGGGCCGTAGCTTGTTCTGAAGCTGTGGGCGCCGCTCACATTGCAGAGGTCAGTGCTGCAGCAGGAAATGTTCCTTTTGCCAACCGTGAAGTTACTGAGAGATGATTCACATGATGCAGAACACTCTTTCGTGATGATGTTGATGACCTGTGCGACAGCTGAAAAGAAGATTGGCAGAGCCGTTGGTATGCAGGAGGGGTGCATCTCAGGGTGCGGCTAGTGTCAGGGCGGATGGCTCCTAACATTTCTGGGAAGCCTCAGCTACCTTTTGAGGATGGGGTCAGCACCATGGCTTGCTCCCATAAAGCTCAGAAATAACCGTGTAGAATCTCGGCGTTTGTGCATTCAATCCTGAGCTTTGTAGGAGCTCTCCGTGGTGCTGAACAAACTCCTTTCTCAAAGCAGGTCACCCTGCCGCACCATGAATGCGTTGAAGTAGAGCAGTCATGGATGAGGAGTTCTCCTGACTTCCTTCCCTGCATGAAAGATGAAGCACCTGGGTCTTCTTTCCCTGGCACACCTGGTTCACCTGATGGGTTGGACCTGCAGAAAATGTGTAATTTCTAATGTTCACCAGGACGTTTGAAGTCACTCTTAAGGCTGTGATCCTTTGCCTGCATCAGTTGGAGTAAGCCCTGCTGTACTCAGTGGGATTTCTCAATAAGCAACTATGTGACTGTACAATTAGGATACATGATCTATAAATTACAAAGCAGTTGGCAGTGGGGGAGGTCAGGAGAGGGGGAAGCACAGAGAAGTGCCTGCTGTCAGAAAAACACCATGATTTTGCAGAAGTGGTCTTGGATTAAAGAGAGGGTGTGTTGCTTTGTGAAAAGCAGTCCCTTCATAGACAAGGAGTGAGGAAACAGAATAGAACCAAGAAAGAATAGTTGTCTTTCCAGTTTTGCACTGGAAAGGGAAGGGAAGAAACGTTCCTGCAAAACCAACAGTGGAATCAGAACACCACACCTCTCATTTCAGTTTGGCTTCGGTATTTGCAAGAGATGAACAGCAAAAAGCAACAGAACAGACCAAAGGAAGGTGGGGAAAGCCAAGAGCTTATCTTACCAATCACATCTGTTTTGCATGCTTTTGCACTTGTTTCACAATCTTTAGTTGTGTTACAATTCTTGTTGCTGAGCTCGTTGTTGCATGTGTAACATTTGAGAGATCCAGCTGCAGGAGAGAGAAACATCTTAATGGCAGAGGCTGGGAAGGAAAAAATCTAACCTGTATGTGAGAAAGTGCAGCTGCCTTGGGCGATTCTTCTGGGACCAGCCATATGCAAATAGTTGCCGCTATTGCTTCGTTGGAAACAAAGGACCACAGAGATGTTTCAAAACAATCTCTTCAGAACGGCAAGTGTTGCTTGCTGAGTCGAACACGTCTCGTCTGTAATGGACAGCTTAACATGGCCCAGTTACCTTTCAGCATGTTATATTCTAAGCATCACTGACTCTGGGTTCAACCCACATCGCTCTGCTGGATGAACCTTTGCTCAAAGCCACTGAGGAATTCCTTGTTCTGAGGAGCAAGCTTGGACCCAGCCATCCAAAATTACTAACACAGATTTGTTTTCAGCTTAGCATAACCATGTAGCTAGATCTCACAAGAGGTGCGTGATATAGGCTCGTGTGTGCATTCCCTGGAATGTCACACTGAAGGGAAGAGGCTTTCTTTTCTGCTGTTGAAGATGTACCTTGAGAAGCAGATGGGCCACAGGATACAGACCAGGAGATGCCAGAGTCAAGGGTGGGGTGTGGGATGAGTGCAGGTTGCTACTGAGCTATGGTAGGTGGTTGAGATGTGACTGATCGTGTTGTGTGAATCCAACTGTGTTAACAAGCCATGGCGAACAACCCACAGATGGGTTATCTGTGGTTAACAAACCATGGCTTCTTAGTGTAGCTTCGCCCAGATAAGAACCCCCATTTCAACAGCAAACCACAGTTAACGGCAACCCACAATCAATTTTCGATCTGCTAAATCAAGCCACCTGTGGCTAATCTACTTCTGATTTGCATGCCGGAAGCAGCGGTGGCGATTGGTTGGGGGCAGGGCCCCGCCATGGCGCAGGCCGCTACTGTGAAGCACTTTTCCAGCGCCCGGGATGGTAAGCTTGCGCCTCCCACGCTGGTCTGGTCTTGGTGCCACATCCCAAGATGCCTCCAGGGGACCCACCACTGGGGAGCAGAAAGTCAAATTTTGCTCCCCCTCAAGGCCTTTTGCACTTACAATGTGGAACATGATCAGGGGAAGCATCCTTGGAGAGTTTACCCACCACATAGGTCGACTTATTCACAGCAAAAAGTAATATAAAAGCATTATAATCGATCAGTTAACCTTTTTCTTGCCTCGATGTCCAGAATGCAAACTTGGAAGAAAAACAAGGCTAGGTTTTCCGCACACTGGTAGATTTCCCTCTGCTTTCTTATGTCTTGGGGAATGATTTATATGCCCTCTTTGACTGTCTGTGGATTGGAGCTGACATGAAATGTTGCAAACATTTGGGATGTGGTAGCATTTCAGATTTGAAATCTGCATGCTGTTGACCTGCTAGCATCACACGCTTGTTTTGATTTTAGCAGGTGCCATACATGAAACTGCCGTTTGTGAAGCCCTGGCGATAGCCCATTGCTGAATACCTCTGCATACCCAACTGTAAAAACCTGACAATAACTGGATACTGAAATCAAGGGGTGATTGCGTGTAGAATTCCAATTCAAATGCTTGCTAATTATTAAAATATATGTAGAATATTTATTTATTTTATTTATTAACAGCTTTTGTATGCCGCCCTATTATACAAGATCTCAGAATAGCTGGTGAAAGTTAGGAGCAAAATTTTGGTTTAGGAGCAAATTTACTGCAGTTCTACTTCAGAGCTGCTTCACCCTTCGTCAGCCCACGGTCTGTGCATTCTCCTCCAATATGGAAGGCTTGAACTAGCATAGGAGGAACATTTCTCCATAGAAAACCTCATGCTCCACAGAAGTGGACAAAGACAAGTGAGAGCCTTGGTGGAGCCAAATTCTCCAGGGAAGGTAATGCTGTAATGGAGGAAGGCCATCTGAAAGACTTACTTGGCTGCAGGAAGAAGCTTCCAGCCAAAGCGAAGATCAGAAGAACCTTCATGGTCGGTTACGGGATCTGCCAGACGGGGAATGGGGCATCCTCTCTCCTTGGGGTTGCTATATATGCTCTGAAAAGTAACTGTCCGTCCACGTGAGGCAGGGAGGTGCATCCAAATCTCCATACAGGACAAGCAGGTTCTTTACATTACATGAACCATGATGTTGATCATAAACATCTTCCCTTCGCAGTTTTGTTTGAACCCATTTGCATGACTGATTCCCTTGGGCTGGTCAGAATGAGCTCAAACATGCTCAAGAATGGGGTGGACACCTTTGGTACACAGACCTCTCCCTTCTCTGAAAGTGAATGAGATCACTCTTGTTCAACAGTGAAAAAGGTGGCGCATTGCCACATGTCTGAACCAGCACCATCACACCCTGCTTGACCCGGGTCCACGGGTTTCAATCGATGCAAATTATGGTCCATTGGATTCAACGTATGCATATTCTGCTGGGGCTGGAGGAGGCCAGGAGAATCTAAGCCGTCGCTCATTAAGCCTTGTCTATACCTGAAAGCTATGTCCTCAGTCTGTATTTGTAAAAATGGACGTCTTAAAATACTGGAAGGGTCTGGTTGCTAACGTGCCTCCGTCCAGAGCTACAGATGCCCAAAGCCAGAGCCATCACCATCTTGGCTCAGAAGTCAGGGTCTGGGCTGGCTTCCACGAAAGAGCTGAAGACCATGCTGGGGGCTCAAATGTACTTTGTGGGCCCCTGTTTGTACCTGTAGCACGAGCCCCTTTCTGCACAGATATTCCACAATGAGAAGCTGATGGGTGGCAGGTTTAGAAGGGAGGAAGAAGAAGAAGATAGAAGACAGAAGGAAGGAGTTCTTGGTGATGGCCACCAATCCGGTGGCTTTAAAAAGGGATAGGAGAGAGTCAAGAGGAAGGAAGCTGTCCGTGGCTACCAGCCTTGCGGGCCACGGCTCCCTCCTTCCCCAGAGGCGGCCTGCCGGCACGCCCCGGCTGCTGAGGAGCTGGGCAGGGGGAGGTCCTGCACCCATCCTGCCAGAGGGACCCCATGGGCAGCTGGCTGGCCACCGTGTGCCCCGAGTGCTGGGCTGGATCGACCTTGGGCCTGATCCAGCAGGGTCCGTCTCCTGCTCTCCGGTTCTCAATGGACTCCCATGCATGCCATGTTGTGAACTGTTGAGGAACTGTTTCTGTTGTCCTTCTGGAAAAAGATTTTCTACCACGGCTGCCAACAACCCTGAAATTGAGCCTCAACTGAAACAGGGGATTTTCTTCCTTGCTCACAAACAACCCTCCCATCTTTTTTCCTGAAGGAAGAGTCCTCCAGAGAATTCCAGCCTGTGGACTGAGGCCTGCCAAACTTGCTGACTATCTTGAAGCATTTTGGTTGTTCCCAAGAAAGCCAAACCTCCTCTTGGTGTTTCTTTTTTCTTTTTTAATGGTGATTGTTTGGTGTCTTTTAACTTCTTTTAGTTTCTCCTGTTTAACCATTTCTGGTTGACTGATTTGCATAGTAGCAAGACATGCCAGTGGGATGCAACCTGCCCCAAGTCCCTTGAAGGAAAAGACACACAAATCCATGCATAAAATAACGATGCTCCGGGCATGTGCATGCGCTACTGGGCCGACCAACAGGACTGGCTCCCAAGGTCCTGGGATCAATGTGGCACGTGATGGATATGGCACATTGCTTCCTCACCTAGAGGTTGACCTTCCCTCCTCTCTGGGCACACAGAATGCTTGGGGCTTGGAGTCCTCGGGGCAGCCCAGCCCATATGGCAGGACGCATCTCCGTCTTAGACTAAGCTCATTCACAGAAGTTGCAAGCAGCACGTGAAAGCCAAGAGGTGCAAGAGATATTGATTTAAGCCCATTCAAGCCCACCTGTCAGAACTTTTCCCAAGGCGGCTCACCAGCAATGGATGGGAACAAGCCACGAAATGTTTCCACAATGCTGATAATGAAAAGGCAGCATCCTCATTCTCTTGAACAGAGATGGAGCATCTATCCTGGGAGACTAATTGCCCTGATCGCCACAGTGCCGGTGGTGAAGGGGGAGGCACGGCTCATCACGAGGTAAGGGGATGCTTGGGTCTATCGCAAAGAATCACAGTTTGCCTGGGGCTTTGGTGCAGAACCCCTCCTCACCATCGGATCACGGGAATCGTGGCAGGGCTCTCCAAAGCTCTCCACATACACTGTGCATGCAAGCCTTAGCAGAGTCCCAGGAAGCTGGTTGGAAGTTGTGGGACCATATTCTAGGATGGGGGTGGGCAGCCATTTTCAGCCCATGGGATGGATTCCATGTCACAGAAAGTTTCGAGGGGCTACTTTCCAGGAAGAGGGAGGCACAGAAGGTGGGAAACCAAATGCCAAGGGGCACGTGGCCAACTGGGAAAACAGGAGAGCCCAGGCCTGGATGCTGGGCCGATGGATCCTGCCCTTGACCGAGACAAAGGGCTGAAGGGAGCAGTTGCGGAGGTGAAGTGGCAGGAGCCTCCCTGAGCAAGGGCAGCTGCAGAGAGCGTTGCGGGGACTTGGGGGGCTGGCGAGGGGCAGGAAGGGGCACGTTCTGAAGGACGCTGCCCCATCCTGCCTGTGTCACCTGGCCTCCTCTGAGGTCCTCCTAGCCTTGGTTCTGCACCCAGCCTGGGGCTGTCCAAATGCCTGGATGCCACCTCTCATCACCCCCAGCCTGAAAATCCAATGGTCAGGAATGTCGGGAGTTGTAGTCCAAAAGGGCACCATGCCGGGGAAGGCTGCTGTGACTGGGGAGGCCCTCTGGGAGCTCAGCGCACCAAGACAGGGTCCGCACCACCACCAACGCCCAACTGGTCGAACCTACAGGAGGCGGCTTGCCAGTCTGGCGGCAGCTGTCTCTTCCTGGCCTCTGACTTCTCCCCCTCTGCAGCCCTGCGGGGTCTGACCTCAGCGCTGGATGTGGTGTCACAAATGCCGCTTCCTGGACCACCAGCTTCTGGATGGGTTGCCAGATATCCTGGCAACTCAGAGGATCAAGGGGCTGGAGCAGCTCCCCTACGAGGAAAGGTTACGCAGCTGAGATGGTTTCGCTCGGAAAAAGGTAAGTAAGGGGCACATGGGAAGAAGTGGGAGCGTGAGCAGAGAAGGGGCAGCCTTCTCCCTTGCCCATAATACTGGAACCTACGTGGGGTCACCCCATGAAGCTGGTGGGTGGGAGAGTCAGGAGAAATCAAAGGAAGGGCTTCTTCACACATGGCTTGCTTAAACTATGGAACTCACTTCCATGGGGTGATGGCTTGAAAAAGGGATTGGGCAAATTCTTGGAGGAGAAGGCCTAAGGATGGCTGTGGTGATGCCTTTCCATTTCTATCCTGCCTTTTCCCCTCTTGCGAGAAACCCGAGTTGGCTCGCATGTTGTCTTTTATCCTGGCAACCAGCACCACCTTGTGGGGTTGGCCGGACTGAGGGTCTGCCTGTGGGATCCTGTGGCTGCTGCTGGGCCCCAGTGCGAACGGAGCCGTGCATTGGACGGACCCTGTGCCCGACCCACCGTCTCAAAGCCCCGGCATTGCTCTGCAGCTCAGAAGGAGCGCCACCGCTTCCACGGATTCTGCCTCCCCTGCGAGCGTCATCCATCCAGCCTCCTTGCGGGCTGGTGCTGAGGGGGCCAAGCAGCGTCCCTGCGCGGACACATCGGCAGGTGCTGCTTTTCCCCAGGTTTTCCTCTTTTCAGGTGGGCTCTGCCACCATGACTCCAGCAACCGCTCAGCGTGCAAAGGTGTGGCACAAGATTTATCATCATGGCCGCTGCTTTCCCACATTTCAAGGGCAGGAAAGAGAAGACCGAGCTGCTGCTGGTCATGATTGTGGCTTGGTCTTGTAGGATCACAGAATCATAGAACAGTAAGGTTGGGAGGGCCAAGACGGCTGTTGGGTCCAATCCACCACTGCAGGTCACCACATCCACTCTCCTTTTCCAGTGTGCTCTTCGAGGAGCCATAAACTTTCCCTGAAGGCCCCAGGGCTGGATGTGGGTTGCTTCTGTGTTACCAGAACATCTTGGCTGGCCCAGGTAGACCCTTCCTTAGCAGGAAGCTTTGCTGGGAGCATCTCCAGAAGTCATTCTCCTGCTTGGGAAGGAACGGAGTTCAGTGCCAAGCAACCGTCCCACTGGCCACAATCTGGATCAATCAGTTTCCAACCCCAGTGGAGAGAAACGGGTCTAGTTATGGTGGTCCTGTGCCTGTGGGGGGCACAGAATTTGGGCCCAGCCCCCTTCTTGCAGCACACTGGTGCTGAGTTCCAAAATGCCAGGGACAAATCCAGGACAAGGACAAGGTCCTCCTAGGTTTGGTGGGCAGCACCAAGCTGAGCACGGTGATGGGAGACGGAGATGGGGCTGGAGGGGACCCAGCTGGTGAGAGTCAGGACTGAGCCCAGAAGCTCAGGGGAAGACTAGGGGCGACGCCTATGGGGCAGTGCTCTAGGAAAGGTACAACCAAACACGTGTGGACAGCTCTCGCCAAACTCTGCCGTGTGTTAGCCTTTCGGTGCCAATGGCAAGCATGGGTTGCCTGCAACCAGGTGGGACCAGGAGCACTGGATGGCTGGGAGGCCGTCCGTCACAAGGCCAGTTCCTGCCCCCCTTGCTGGAGCAGGTCGTTCCACTGCAGGCTGCAGTTTTGTGTTTCTGCCCTGCCTCTGGCTGCCAAGGCTGCACCTTGGCGTTTGGCCTCGAGGTGCCTCCGCAGGAACCTTCTCATGGTTGCCCAGACGAGGAAGCCCTCTAGGCCTCTGCCCTTGGCAAACACACATGCACACAAAAGCCAGCCACCCTTCTGGAATGTTCCAACTTCTTAGTCACTGCACTGATTCCAGCTCAGCGGGTTTCTATGGTGACGGGCTTAGCATTGTGTCCTCAGACGCAACCACAGTGCGGATACTTGCAGGTCCACGACTTCATGCAGGTGTTGAAGCCCTTTCCTGGCATGGGTTGTCCCTGCCCTGCAATTTGGGGTGCGTGTGTGTGCGTTTGAATCTTGCT